GTGCGTCGGCGTGCGCCCAGGATCCAAACCAGCGAGCCCTGGGCCGCCACAGGGAGCACGTGCACTTAACGGCTTGTGCCACCGGGCCGGCCCCCAAAGCAGTCAATTTTTAAATCTTGACTATGTATACAGAACACTGGAAGTATTAGATACATTGCTTTCCCTCCAGAAACCTGGCTGGAAACAAAGAAAATAAATCAGACTTGCAGATTCAATAGTTAAAATAAAAGCATGCAATAGAATGTATAATCAGGTCTAAGACTGTGAGATATAAATTGAAAGTTCTGAGAAGAACGGGGTCAAGTGGAAGAGGTGGTCAAAGGTTTCACACAGGTAATGGACTTTGAATAAAACCTTAAAGGACAAAATTCATCAGGAACCAGGGCATAGTAATCAAAGGTTCCAGAGCAAGGAAGCATGGAGGACCTTGGGAAAACAGGCTTAGCTGAAAAGGAGAGTAAACTTGAGGCAGCAAAGAACAATCCTCCATAGGCGAGAGCGGGGCACGAAGGGCCTCAAAAGCCAGGCGGGAGTTCAGGCTCTACACCAGCAACTAAAGGTAATTCTAGGCTTTTATCCAAAGAGTGACATGGTAAATGACAGGTCTAGGGAGACAAGTCTCCCTGCAACATCTAACTTGAGCCTGAAGAATGATGTCAACAATCTGGCAGATTGTTACCAAAATTCAAGCATTAAGTGGGGCCATTTTAGGGTGATATCTGTGGGACTTGAGTGTTAATAAATTTAAAAGAACTTAAAGTCAAAAAAGAATTGGTGAGAGAATTGGAGATATTGAGGATGGGGAGGGAGAAACTTAATGGCCTATTTCTAAACTAGGGGACTGGAAGAATGTTAATACTGACAGAAGTGGGAATATGAGAAGGGAAGTTAAAAAGGAAAAGAATTTTGAAAATTCTCAATACACTGAATTTGAAGTGACACTGGATATTCAAGTGTAGATATCCCATAGCCAAGAAAATACATGGGAAGAGTGTTTAATACAAGGATAGGAAATAAAGACATTAGGGTTATGGAAACAGAAAGGATAGTTAAGGCCATATAAATGTATGATAGCTCTTGGGGGGAGGCAGACAAATGTACATACCCAGCATGCATTCTCAACAGGGCAGTACTGCCCCCAAGGGGGTGAGAATTGGTTCTTAGTGGGCAGTGGTGATAATAAGAAAAAGACTGAGAAACTGATAGACAGTGATCAAAGAGCAGGGCCTTTTGGGATTTCCAAAGTTAGAGGAAAGACAGAGAAATATGCAGAGAAAAGGAATACAAGGCCGGAGGAATCAGGAAAACTATGATTTCATTCAAGTCAAAAAATTTTAAGATTACGGTGAACACTATCAAAACCATCCAAAAAATTAGTAGTAGTAAATACTCTGAAAGAAAAATTAAAAAAGGAAAAGCCCTGAAAGGGACAAAAGTTTAACAGTAACCTCCAAGTGAGGAAATCTGGTACAAAGATAGAGCACAGTCACTGGGTTTCCATAAAGAAAATGGAAACGCATGACTCTCACCACCTGCGGAGACCACTTCATCCTGGGGCTCTCCCCTCACTCCCCAGGTTTAACTGAGAGTAATGGTTCGAGAGCCACAGTTACTAAGGGAAGAGAACCATGTGGGCTGAGGCAGGAAAAACCCTGAAAGCCCCAAAGGAGAGGATACTTCTTTACAACTGTTTTTATAGAATGTCCGATTTTACCACAAAATGGCACTTTCCCATGGTTCAACCTGGTAGGTAGACATGCATCTTCCCATCTAATTAAAAATTCTTTATCAGCATATTTTTAATGGCCACGTATTTTTCCCTTATATGATCTACCATAATTTGTATAACCAATCCTCTCTGATACATTTGGTGAATAACTTTTCACTATTTCAAATAATTCTATAACGATTCATCTCTGTTCACAATTTTTGGTTAGAGTTACTGATTATTTCCTTAGTCTAGATACCTAAAAATGAATTATTACATCGAAAATGTTTAAGGCTCTTTGATTCAACAAGTCAAAATGTTTTTGAGAAAAACTACATCAATTACACCCCCATCTATCGCTAGCAAATGAGGCTTTGTCTTACCAAAGCACTGTCTTATCTTCAGGGGAGATGGATGAATCCCTGAATGTGTAAGAAAAGAAGCACGGGAGACTAGATATTGCAGGACAGGGGGATGTTTAATGAAAACAAAGTCTAAAGAAAGATGGTACAAGACCAACGTGGGGAAAGTGTGGGAAAAGATAGAGTACAGATAAGAAGGTCAAGTGAACGGGAAAGACCACAGCCTTCTGAACAGGTAGAAGGGGGAGCGAGTGAGTAGATAAAGGTAGATCAGTATGTGGAAGCTGAGGCCTCACTTTCTCCACAAACCAGAGAACTTCAAAGACAACTCCGAGCACATTGACAAAGGAACTCCTCTCTCACGGATTAGCCTGGCTTGCAATTTGCCATGATGCTTAGCTGATTCCTTTGGAGTTCATTCTCCATTATATAATGATCTTCAACTTCACCTTCCTCCAACTGAGAGGTCATATCTGGGAAACACAGAGATTGGGTGACTGTGCAGAAAGCAAAATCAGTCCCAAACCCTGGCTTATTAGGGATGGACCAGGTATGGTTTCTGAAACAACTCAGTAAAGCTACCATTCTCCACTTCTCACCAAATAAAGTTCTTTAGTGCTTAGAATAATCAGCAACATCCTTTTGTGCCGAAAGGAATTACGAAACTCTGATTCTCCTGAACGACAATTCCTGGGGCCCCAGCACTATTTAAAATGGAAGAAACAAAGACTCCCATGGGCAGTGTCCTGGCTCATGTTCTTACCCACCTAGACCAAGTGGCTGTAGTTCTCCAGCATCACAGCTCTGTGCAGCTTCCTCTGAGTAGGGTGCAAGCAACCCCACTGTTCCTCAGTGCAGTCCACAGAGACATCCTTGAATGTTACTGGTTCCTAAAACAGTAAGCACATTCCTGCTTAACCAACAACCATCTGCACAAATGCCCCACAAGGAAGGTGAGTTTGGTAGCACTGGAAAAGGTGAGAAGGGTACAGAAGTGTGCAGTTCAGGGATCTGAGTGATCTAAGTCAAGTTTTGTTGGAAAATCTTTCCTTTCTCATCTACTTTGCTACTTCCATCCAAGTCCTTCCCCTCTTGCTCACAACTCACCCAAGCTCAAGCTATCCAACTGCTGAATCTTTCCTTGTCACTGTCATCTCCTGGTGATTGCTGAGTTGTCCTTTTCCTCTCATTCCCCCTATTAACCTGAGAACCTCAACACTCCTGAGAACAATTTACCCAACACTCGACCCTCACGTTTCTTAATCTCTTTAGTGCTGATGATCTCTGCCTCATTTCATCAAACTCAATAACCACAATCAGGGCCATTTCACTATTTGGACCACTCTGCTTTTGAAATATTAATCTCTTAACGTCCTACACCCTAAAAATATCTTCCTCTTCTTTCTGCTCTTCCTCTGCCATCACACCTGCCTTGTCAGGATCACCATCCTTTAACCCCTCCTCTTGTTCTCCTCTCAGCCAAAGCACCCTTCTGATCTCAAGTTTTTCCCTAGTCGTATCAATCATATGTCCTTTCTTCTTCTAAACTAAGTAGTCGAACATTCCTGGAAAAAATAAAATAGCATATAGACACACAACCATAAAATACTCTCCTTAGGTATTCCCAATCCAGCCCCTTTGGCTTAAAATACCACTGACTGCCAAATACTTACCACCAGCCCTAACTTTTCCCCTCAACTCCAGGCTCCAACTTTCCACCTAACATCTACACTTGCATGTCTAAAAGGCACTTACAACTTAACAGGCCCCAAGAGAACTTTTGTTCCGAACAATCTTCATCAATATCTGCTCTTTCCTAGTCGTCCCCATTTTAGTAAATAGCCACGTGACCCACCCGATTGCTCAAGCCAAAATCCTAGAAGTCACTTTCTCTTCTCTCTTCCTCACATTTTATCTATCACCAAGTCTTTTCAACTCTACCTCTAAAACATACCCGAATCCACCACTTCTCGCCATCTTGCACTATTATCGTCACGAGGCACAGCTGTCATTAACTCTGACCTGCACCAACCTCCTATTTTGTCTGCTACCACTCCTGCTCCCCCAACACAGTGAGTTTTCCACAGAGCAGCCAGAGTGATCTTTTAAAACACACACTGCATCAGGAATGAAACCGTCCAAAGGCTTTTCAGTGGACATTGAGTAAAATCCAGACTCTTCATCCTGGTCGACAAGGCTTTACAGACTGGGGTCCTGTCAATTCTCCAACCTCAGCCTGAGTGACTCCTCCCTTATGTGTCACACTTGGCCCCAGTGACCTTGCAGGTCTCTGAACACATCAAATGCACCCCAACTTAGGGCCTTTGCACTGGCTGTCCCTCTGCCCACAATGTCCTTTTTCCAATCTTCACACGCCTGGTTTCTTATCATTCAGATCTTAGGTGTACTGCCACCTCCTCAGAGTAGCATTTCCTTGACCGTCTAATCCACAGTAGCACCCAGTGACTATCACTTCTCTGTGTTTCAATTTCTTTATACTACTTATGCCTTATGTCATTTTCTAATTTATTCATTTGCTTTCTTATTTACAGTCTGTCTTTCCCCACTAAGATATAGGTTCCCTAAGAACAGAGTGGCTGTCTGATTTGTTCACAGCTGCATCCCCAAGACCTCAAGCAGGGCCTGGCACATAAAAGGAGTCCAAATATTTATTTAGTTAACTTCACAGTGAGTCTGGTTCCCTCTAAGGTTCTGTCAATAGAGAAGCACTTCTCAAATTGCCTCTGGTGAAGAACCAGTTTCTTTTAAAAAAGTTCTAATATGGCACAGACTGATACTTTTGTTAAATACAATAAAAAAGAATTACTAGAAAATAAAAACCAAGACATATAAAATACTAACACCAATTTTTTAAATTATTAGATTCAATAGACATAAAAGTTTTAAACACTCACTCTCAATTTCCTTATGTCTTTGCAGACTGGTAACAAGCAGTTTGTGGGCTGGCACCAGTCTACAGGCCACACGCTGAAAAGCAGAGAATAGAATATACATAAAACAACTGAGAGCCAAGTGAAGCCCAAAAGAGCAGCTCAACTCTGTCCAGGGAAGGACCCAGTAACCTTCAGAAGTGCAGACAACTTAGGCCTGAGGCTGAAGGGGCACTACCCCCTCCCTCCTCAGGAAACAGGACCACCAGGCTGCCCCCAGGAGTGATACAACCATCCTACTAGTCACCAGTGGAGAAGGTAACAATGAGGGAAAGTGCCAGTTTCCTCCCAAGCCCTCCTTTCACAGTCACGGGTCTCTACTGTGTCTGAGGAAGAGGGAGGAGATTGGGCTGGAGAAGCCTGCAAGTCCCTGCACAGGTGGAACGAAGAAGTCGAAGTGAGGGTTGCTGCCTTACAGCACCACAAACACACTCGTTAGTAAAACAGGGCCCGGTGAATATAGGCAGTTGGATTAGCCACTCCTCTCACCCACACTTTTTCTTTACCTCAGGAGAAAAAGACTTCTTTTTTTTTTTTAATTTCTTGTTTATTGCAGTAACATTGGTTTATAACATTGTAAAAATTTCAGGTGTACATCATTATACTTCTATTTCCGCATAGATTACATCATGTTCACCACCAAAATACTAATTACAACCCATCACCACACACATGTACCGAATTATCCCTTTCACCCTCCTCCCTCCCCAC